TGTTCCCAGATGGTTTCTGATTGGCTGGAAGTCTATGTATAAGCTCTGCCTACTCTTTTATGATGCCAAATAGTCAATTATTATATTAGAAAGAATAATGCAAGAAAAAGCAATAAAAAACAAGGAAAAAATTCCAAAAAATATATGGGCTGTGAGCAGACATGCTACCCATATCGCCATCACCATACCTGATATAAATGACTATAATTTATTGTAGAAACATCATAGAACATTGATTCTTGTACCATTGTGTTGCCAAAGAGTTAAGCTATTTTTCTATATGAATAACTCAATTTCTATAATTTTTTTATTTTTTTTGAGAGCGTGCAAAAAATTGCCTTGTCGAGTCTATGTCTCTGCTGCTGCTGCTGCTGCTGCTGCTGCTGCTGCTGCTGCTGCTGCTGCTGCTGCTGCTGCTGCTGCTGCTGTTGCTGTGCTGCTGCTGCTGCTGCTGCTGCTGCTGCTGTGCTGCTGCTGCTGCTGCTGCTGCTGCTGCTGCTGCTGCTGCTGCTGCTGCTGCTGCTGCTGCTGCTGCTGCTGCTGCTGCTGCTGCTGCTGCTGCTGCTGCTGCTGCTGCTGCTGCTGCTGCTGCTGCTGTGCTGCTGCTGCTCTGCTGCGGGCTGTCTGCTGCTGCTGCTGCTGCTGCTGCTGCTGCTGCTGCTGCTGCTGCTGCTGCTGCTGCTGCTGCTGCTGCTGCTGCTGCTGCTGCTGCTGCTGCTGCTGCCTTGCTGCTGCTGCTGCTGCTGCTGCGCTGCTGCTGCTGCTGCTGCTGCTGCTGCTGCTGCTTGCTGCTGCTGCTCTGCTGCTGCTGCTGTCTGCTGGCTGCTGCTCTGCTGCTGCTGCTGCTGCTGCTGCTGCTGCTGCTGCTGCTGCTGCTGGCTGCTGCTGCTGCTGCTGCTGCTGCTGCTGCTGCTTGGCTGCTGCTGCTGTTTGGCTGCTGCTTGCTGCTGCTGATGCTGCTGCTGCTGCTGCTGCTGCTGCTGCTGCTGCTGCTGCTGCTGCTGCTGCTGCTGCTGCTGCTGCTGCTGCTGCTGCTGCTGCTGCTGCTGCCTTGCTGCTGCTGCTGCCTTGCTGCTGCTGCTGCTGCTGCTGCTGCTGCTGCTGCTGCTGCTGCCTGCTGGCTGCTGCTGCTGCTGCTGCTGCTGCTGCTGCTGCTGCTGCTGCTGCTATTGCTATTGCTGCTGCTGCTGCTATTGTACCTCACTCTCAGCCTATGTATACCCTCTGTGTCCATGTACTGCTTGTAACTAACGGCTTGACAAAGCTCCTGGAGAGCGAAACATTGCCACAATACAATGTCACATTAGTTGTACTTTACATATTGTCGGTAATTCTACCAACATTATTACATTTTCAACTTTCTTCCTTTACACACCCTCCCAAACTCGTCTACTAACCTTTGCCACTTTTCTGTAGACTATCCCAAAAGGACAGTACCATCAGCAAAAAGTAACAGTGTTAATTCCCATTTTGTATTTGATTCCCTACAGTTTAATCCCACCCCTCTCTCCAACACCCTAACATTTAGTTCTTTTACAACCCCATCTATAAATATGTTAAACAACCATGGTGACATTACACATCCCTGTCTAAGACCTACTTTTACTGGGAAGTAATCTCCCTCTCTCCTACTCACCCTAACCTAAGTCTTGCTTTCCTCATAAAAACTCATTACAGCATTTAGTAACTTACTACCTATTCTATACAATTACAACAGCTGCTACATTGCTCCCCTATTCACTCTGTCATATGCTTTTTCTAAATACATAAATGCAATGAAAACTTCCTTACCTTCATCTAAATTCTGTTCACATATATGCTTCAGTGTAAACACCTGATTTACACATCAAAGATATGCAATATTGTTAATAATCTTTAATATTTTTGATTAACAGATTAGATGAGTGGTAATTTTATACTTCCTTTTCCTGTAACTATAAAAGGCTCCAGTAAATATTTCATCTGAAATATGATTTACATATTCTGCCTCATCTGAAGATTTATTATTTTACCTCAGTATGATATACAGTGGACCCTCAACCAACGATATTAATTCATTCCAGAGAGCTGCCGTTAGTTGAATTTATCGTTAGTCGAATTAATTTTCCCCATAAAAAATAATGGAAATGCAATTACTTCTTTCCAGACACTCAAAAGTATGAAAAAAAAAATTTTGCACATGAAATATACATTTTCCTACACAGAAAAAGAAGGATACATACAAAATAAATACACGTACTTTACTAAATGAGGAATAAGTGACACTTACCTTTATTGATGATGATGTGATGAGTGATGAAATGGGAGGAGGGGAGATGGAGGTGTATTATTTTTTGGAAGGAGAATCCTCTTCCATAAGGACTTTAGGTACCAAGTCCTTTTTCGGGCTTACTTCCCTTCTTTTTTTAATGCCAATAGGAACAACTTGAGAGTCACTGGACTTTTGTCGCACCAAAAATCTTTCCATAGAGCTCTGTATCTCGTGTTCCTTTAAGATTTTCCAAAAATGGGCCACAACATTGTCATTGTAAAAGTAACCAGCACAGCTTGCAATAGCTGTGTCAGGGTGATTTTCATCCATAAAGGTTTGCACGTCAACCCACTTTGCACAGATCTCCTTAATCTTTGAAGAAGGCAACTTCCTCCATTTCTCTTTCCCCTCCTCTGAAGCAATTTTCTCAGTTCTGTCCTCGTGCTGTTGCAGATGCTCTTGCAGCTCATCAGTGGTTACTTCTTCATTGTTGTCCTCCACCATCTTTTCCACATCCTCCCCACTAACGTCCAACCCCAAGGACTTCCCCAGTGCCACAGTACATTCCACAGCTGGCATAGGCTTCTCAGGGTTAGCCCTAAACCCTTCAAAATCCCTCTCTTCTACTCATTGTGGCCAGTTTCCTCCAAGCAGAGTTCAAGGTCCTGTTAGTCACTCCCTTCCAAGCCTTACTTATAAGGTTTATGCAATTGAGGATACTAAAGTGATCTTTCCAAAAAATCTCTTAGGGTCAGTTGAGTGTCTGAGGTCACTTCAAAACACTTTTGAAACATTGCTTTGGTGTACAGTTTTTTGAAATTTGAAATGACCTGCTGGTCCATGGGCTGAAGGAAAGGAGTGGTATTAGGAGGCAAGAATTTCACTTTGATAAAACTCAAGTCCCTCGAAGTTCGCTCTGGCAACTCTGAAGGATGAGCAGGAGCACTGTCTAATACCAGGAGGCACTTAAGGTCCAATTTATTTTCCATGAGGTAATTTTTCACAGTGGGGCCAAACACATGATAAAACCAATCATAGAAAATGTCCCTAGTGACCCATGCCTTACTGTTTGCCCTCCACATCACACACAAATTAGCCTTGATGACATTGTTTTTCTTCAACACTGGGAGTTTCAGAGTGATACACGAGTAGAGGCTTCACTTTGCAATCCCCACTAGCATTACTACACAACATTAAAGTAACCCTTTCCTTCATAGGCTTGTGTCCTGGGAGTGCTTTTTCCTCCTGTGTAATGTAGGTCCTCTTTGGCATTTTCTTCCAAAACAGGCCTGTTTCATCACAAACACTTGTTGGGGTTTTAATCCTTCAGCCTCTATGTATTCCTTGAATTCCTGTACATATTTTTCAGCCGCTTTTTGGTCTGAACTGGTAGCCACACCATGCCTTACCACACTGTGTATGCCACTACGATTCTCCCAAACCAACCTTTAAATTCACTCACGTCACCACTAGTTGCAGGCCTTTTTTTTTTTTTTTAATTAAATCGTCATGCAACTGCCCTGCCTTTTCACATATGATTGATTGAGAGATGCTATCTCCTGATATCTGTTTTTCATCTATCCATACCAATAACAGTCTCTCAGCATCTCCGAGTACTTGCGATCTGTGTTTCGAAAACATACTTGCACCTTTCACAACAACAGCTTCCTTGATTGCCTTTCTGTTGGCCAAGATAGTAGCGATGGTTGATTGGGGTTTGTTATACAACCTGACCAGCTCGGAGACACGCACTCCAGTTTCATACTTTGTGATTGTCTCTTTCTTCATTTCAGTTGTAATTCTCACCCTTTTTACCACAGCGTTGGCACTAGAAGCTTTCTTTGGGCCCATGGTGGCTTATTTAGCAGTTACAAGCACGAAAAACACTGGAATAATACAAAATGTACCAAATGTATGCATGGAAGTGACTGCACTGGCTTGTAAACATTGGCACACTAACTGAAGGCAGGGCAGCTAAGGTGCGCTCAGGCCATTCTGGACGAATGATGTTAGTCAAGCTTTTCATCGTTGGACGGGCCAAAATTTTTACAATAAAACGCTTCGTTAGTCGATTTTATCGTTAGATGATGCCTTCGTTGGTTGAAGGTCCACTGTACGTGTGCTTAAATAAAACTCATATTCTCATACATTTCCATTTTTTGAACATTCTTGACATGTTTATTATATGCTCCTTCTCTATAACACATGAGTTAGATCATGTGCCCAGAATTCCTTTATTCTATTCATTTGTATAATACAGCCTCTCCTCACTTAGCAACGTACTCGGTTACCAACGACTCGGACTTACAGTGGGCTCTCTGACCAGTATTCCTACCTAAATAAAGTATATTAGAGCTGATTTCCTCTGTTCTGTTTATTACAGTATACAGTAAACTACTGTATAAACATTTAAAAATATACCAGAGTTGTTACAAATGGTGCAAAGGTGACATTAAAAAAATATCAAAGATGGTTGACACAACCCACTACCATTATAGTATGCTCCTCACTTAGCGATGAATTCATTTACTGATATGGTCTTAGGAACTGAACTGCATCGTTAAGTGAGGAGAGGCTGTAATCAATTGCTTAACAGGACAATGTGTAAAAGTAATCAGTCAGATCATCACTTTGAAAAGTACAAAGCAAAGTTCAAATTCTTTACATTATAACTTTTTATATTTTTTCCTCTTGGTTTTGTCTAAATGTGAGATACAGTACTTATATAAGACTATTTCACTTCATACAGGTATTGATCAAGAAGATATTGAACTTCTTAAAAGAAGCTATGAAGGAATGCTAGCAGATGACAGCCAGTCCTACTGGCTCAATGACACTCATTGGGTTGATCACCCACCCACAGACATCCCACTTCCACCCAGAAAAAAGAGGAGATTGGACGACCTTCCCATACATAAAACTGGCTGTGCTCGTACCGAAGGCATTTACAAAGTTGACTCCAAGCAGAAACAAAAACATAAAGTTAGTCCCTCGCATTTTTTTTTTTTATTGTTGTTAACCCTTTCACTGTCATGACCCCAGAAATTAAAAGCACTGAAGGTGTCCCAGTTTAAACAAAAAGGATAATTATTTCTGTCTTCTGAAATGGTAGAGTTTTCTGAAAGCAATGGAACTGAAAGTGGCAAAGTTTATGGACACTTATGAAATTACACAGGCATGAAGTTGGCAGTCTGAGCACAATTTACGTATGAGAGATTTTGCCTCCTTTGAGTCCCATTTTATGCCAATTCCATTGCTCAAGTTGACCTAATTCCTAGCTATTTTGCTAGCATCCTTTCTCTTCTATCGACTGAATACCCAATTCATCTATTAGAGCTACCCCTATAAAGTGCACAGGAGTTAGTAATTTGGCCAATTTCACACAACATTCAGCAAATTCCTATTTAAAAAGAGTCCAGAATGAACATTGTAAACATTCCAGCCATTAAAACTACGTTTCCTTTGTTCATTAATTGCTTCCCCAGGTGTCTCCTGCATAACAGTTGCCCTCCATTTTGAATCCACCATGGGAGTTTTGCCCTATTTGTCAAAATAAGATATGAAGGTTAAAGGTAGTAGGTTGGTAGACAGCAACCACCCAGAGAAGTACTACCGTCCTGCCAGATGACTGTGAAACAGAAACCTGTAACTGTTTTACATGATGGCAGGATTGCTGGTATCTTTTTCTGTCTCATAAACACGCTAGATAACAGGGATATCTTGCTACTCCTACTTACAGTTTGGTCACACTTCACAGACACACACATGCATATATATATATATATATATATATATATATATTTTATATATATATAAAATATATATATATATATAAAATATATAAAATATATATATATATTAAAACCCAAAAATAAATATTTAAAACAATAATTTTTTAATAAATTTATTTTTTTTTTATAAATAATTTAGTACTAAGTATTTATTAACTATAGTAATCAAATACATTTAAAAATATAAAATTGGGTTTTTAAAGTTTTTTTTTATTCTCTTTTTCCATGGGGAAGGGAAATCTCCTCCCCTTCAGCTTTGTTTAACAAAAAAGCCGGACAATCAGTAATCTTTCTCATTATTTAAAATTAAAAAACCTTTTTTTTTTCCTTTTGGGGCCACCGCTCCTTCGCACATTAAAAGAAATTATTTGAAATTTATCTTTTTATTTCTTTTTTAGTAATTTTAACAAAAATTAATAATTTTTAAAATTTTATATAATTTTAAAAATTTTAAAAAAATTTATATAAATTTATATATAAAAAAAAATAATAAAAAAACTATATAAATAAAATAAAAAAAATAATATTTTTATAAATAAATTTACAATAAATTTTATTTACTAATTAATAAATAAAATATGTAATTTATATTTATAAAAAAAAATAAAATTAAATATTAAAAAATTAATTCTTTACACTCATTGGCCCGGGAAGGAAAAAACCTCCCCGGGGTGCTGTCTACCAACCAAAGGGGTTTTCTTTGCATTTAACTAAAAAAAAAAGAAAACAATAAAAAGGTGCAAGGGTAAGTAGTGCGGAAAAGAAACAAAATTTTATAATTCAAGAATTATGTTTGGAAGGAAAATAAAGTTGGATGTGAAAAAATGGGTTTAAACTGGTATTGAAATGGAAAAAAGAGAGAAGTTTTATAGAGGAAGGGGAAGAGAAAATTTTGGAAATTGTTAGTGGAAAAAAAGGTTTGGGGATTTTGAAACAAGGGAGAGTAATGGGGGTTTGGGGGGTTTTTAAAAGCCTAAAAGTGGGGAAAAATGTTATGGAGGGAGTGTAGGTAATTTGGGGTGCCAGGGTAAAAAGTAAAAGGGGGGCCTTTAAATTACTTTGTAAAAGAAAGGTAAAAATAATACAATTTTTTATAAAAAGGGGATAAAAAAATATAAGGGTATGATTACATATAAAAGGGTTTTTGTTAATTATGTATTGGTGGAAAAAGTGAGTGGGCCCAGGATGTACATGTTTTAAGGGGCAAAAGGATATACGACATTTTTTATTGTAGCTCAGAGGGGAAAGGGGTAGAGGGGAAAAGAGAATGAAAACCAAAAGAGGAGGTAAAAAGTTATAAACAAGGGAGGAGGGTTGGGGAGAAAAAAACACTATTGGGGAAAGGGCTAGGGCAAAGGAAAGGGGGGGGTTAAAGAGGGTTTAGTTTTAAAAATGAGTTAGAATGTGGGGGAGAAGTTGTGGTTAAGGGGTGGGGGCAGGAGGAAAAAGGGGGATTGGTGGAAAGATGAATAAAGGGGTGTAAAAGGGGGAAAAAGGTAGCTTAAAGGTTTTTACAAAGAGAAGTTTAAAAGAAAAAGGGGTATATGGAGAAAAGAAATAAGAGAGTGGTGAAGATGAAAAAAAGACAAATGAAAGAGTGGGGAGGTGTCAAAAATTTTTGAAATAAGAAAAAATTTTTGGGGTGTTAAAAATTAAGAAAGCCCAGGGAAAAGGGGTTTGTCATTAAAAAAAGGGGGAGTTTAATGGGGAGAGAGGTATTGGAGATGGGGAATATTTTGGAAATTTTTTAAAAGTTAAGGGAAAAAAGGGAGGGGGGTAAATTTTTAAGGCCCCGGAGGATAACCCTCTTTTGGGGTGGAAGACAGGTAATGTGGGGGGACGTGAGGCATTTGTAAAGAAAGGGGGGGAAAAACCCGGAATGATGGGATAGAAGAAATTTAAAAACAGGGGGGGATAAAGTTTTGGAGGTGGTTGGTGCAAATTATTTAATAAATGTATGGAGAGGGTTAAGGTACTAGGGATTGGCAGAGAGCCTGCATAGTTCCTTTGTATAAGGCAAAGGGGATAAAAGAGAGTGCAAAAGTTATATAGGGGGGGGGGGGATAGTGTTGCTGAGTATACTGGGTAAAAGTGTATGGTAGAGTTATTATTGAAAGACTTAACAAAAGTAAGACGGAGAATAGGATAGAAGATGAACAAGAAGGCTTTAGATAGGTAAGGGGTGTGGGACAGGTGTTTACGTGAAACATATAAGTGAACAGTATTTTATTTTGATAAGGTAAAGAGGTTTTGTGGCATTTATGGATTTGTTAGGTTAAGACACATATGCACAGTTAGACAACTTTATTCCGAAACGTTTCGCCTACACAGTAGGCTTCTTCATTCGATATACTGAAAGTAGGCAGGAACGTCGAGGATGTGAAGACGAATGTAATCAGTCAATCACCCTTAAAGTCGTTAGAATTGAGAGTTTGTCAGTCCCTCGGCTGGAGAAAGTTCGTTCCATAGTTCAGGAACAATATCTGAGATTAAGCGACAGTGCGGGAGGAGACTAAATACTGTCGAGGAAGAGGTGCCAGGGTAAGAGTAGCTAGTAGTAGTAGTAGTAGTAGTAGTAGAGGACTTAGAGGTCATGTCCTCTCGATCCAACCCTTCTCACTTGAAAAGCTTTGTCCAAGTGTTTTATGTACCAAGATGCCCTGTTGCAGTTGTCTGACAAGATGACATTCAAAAAATGGTATACACTACCGACAGGTTGTTAGGGTAAGACACATATGCAACAGTTAGACAACTTTATTCCGAAACGTTTCGCCTACACAGGTAGCGTCTTCAGTCGAATACAGAAAGTAGGCAGGTACAGTAGAGATGTGAAGACGATTGTAATCAGTCATACCTTAACGTCGTAGAATTGAGGTTGGTCGTCCCTGGCCTGGAGATGTTCAGTTCCATAGTTCAGGAAATATCTGAAGATTAGCGACAGTGCGGACGACTTAAATTACTGTCGGGAAGGGAGGTGCAGGGTAGTGTAGTTGTAGTAGTTGCATGTGGTCTTACCTAAACAACCTGTCGGTATTGGATACCATTTGTGTTCATTTAATGGATTTGGAAAAGGAGTATGACGGGGGCAAGGGGGGCAATGGGCAGATGTGCAAGTGTTATGGTGTAGGGGGAAGTAGGATTGAAAGCAGTGAAGAGTTTTTACGAGGATAGTGAGGCTCAAGTTGAGTATGTAGGCAAGAGGGAACTTTTTTCAGTATAAAAGTAGGGCTGAGACAAGGATGTTGTGAAATTGTCACCGTTGGTTGTTCATTTATTTATAGATGGGTTGTAAGAGAAGTAAATGCGAGGGTTTGGCAAGAGGTGTGGAGTTAAAAGATCAGAATAACACAATGGAGTTGTCCACAGTGCTCTTTGCTGATGACACTGTGCTCTTGGGATATTCTGCAGAGAGTTGCAGAGATTGGTGGCATGAATTTGGTAGGGTGTGCTAAAGAAAGAAAATAAAGGTGATGAATACTGGAAGAGTAAGGTTTTGAGGATAAACAAAAGATTTAGGTGATGAAAGATTGATATCAGATTGGATGGAGAGAGTATTGAGGAGGTGAATGTATTCAGATATTTGGGGAGTGGACGTGTAGGGAGGGTCTATGAAAGATGAGAGGTGAATCATAGAATTGATGAGGGGAAACGGCTAGGTGAGTAGAGGATGCACTTAGGAGTCTGTGGAGACAAAGAACCTTTGTCCCCTTGGGGAATAGCAAGAGGGGAATGTATGAGAGTATTGTTTTACAGCATTTATATGGGTGGAAAGCATGGGTGATGATAGTTGCAGCGAGGAGAGGCTGGTGAGGCTGTGGAGATGTCATGTCTGAGGGCAATGTGTGGGGTTGTGAATTAATGCAGAGAATTTGTAAGTTTGGAAGTTATGAGGAGGTGCGGGATTACCAATAAAACTTTTGTCCAGAGGGCTGAGGAAGGGTTGTTGAGGTGGTTCGGACTGTAGAGAGAATGGAGCGAAACAGAGTGACTTCAAGAGTGTATCAGTCGTAGTGGAAGGACGGAGGGGTAGGGGACGGACCTAGGAGATGTTGGAGGAGGGGGTAAGGAGGTTTTGTGTGCGAGGGGCTTTGTTCCAGCGAGCATGCGTGGCGTTTTGATAGCAGTAAATGGAAGGACAAATGGTTTTTAATACCTTGACGTGCTGTGGGAGTTGTGGAGCCCATGTAAATT